TCCCATTAAAGAGGGAAGTTGAGGGGTCCCTTGATTTAGTTCTTTTTTTCTGTTCATTGTTCAGATATCCGTGCCGCAATCACGTCGGAGCAGGCAATATTTTTTTCCGAATTTATTTCATTGCTAATGGTTTCAGGTCCAGAGATTGAAATTGTTCCCTTCCGAAGTGGCCTCCTCCTGCATCCGCGAACGGTTATCAACGTTACCGTTACTTACCGTGACCCACCCGTAACGTTCTTTTGGGCCTTGCTTGAGAAGTTTGGATAACAAACGAGGATAACACCCGAGGCATTCTAAGTTGTTCGCTTGAAATGGATGGACGGTAATATTACCGCCCATCCATTTCAAGACTGCGGATATGAACGGACAATCTTTGTGGGTCGTCCTCAAGGTCGCCCAGTTGCTCTCAATGCACACAAGTTCTTGTGCATTTCCGCCAACGACTTTCTTTGGATGATTTCGTACTTAAGCACAAACTTTAGTGTTCATCTTTCCAAACCGGCACGGCGACGGATGCGATCAAGAACAACGGGTGCCAGTGTGGATTAAGGTCTTGTACCGTTTGGAGTCAAAAGCATATCAAATATTCAGAAAAAAAAATCATGGCTCCGGCATAGCAACTCCAGAAACAACTGACTCTCCCCGATTCCTATGGCGATAACCGGTAGCCCTCAGGCGTTAGAGAAATTCGGCAATCATCAGGCATGACATGGGGCATCACTTGGTCATATGTGTTCACACGGCACGTGCTCAGATGTGGAAACGGTCGGCTTCATTTTTTTCACCCATAACAGACTACGTCGTCCTTGAAATACGAGCAATTTCAAAATACAGACTTTTACGAATTCCTATGGAATCAGGCTTTCCTAAATCAGTTACTAAAAAAATGATTGTCGGTGTGCTTCGAAGAAACGCAGAAAAAAATTGGCAAAATTGAAAAGTGCGCTGTTCCTTCGGCTATGAAAACAGTCATTGCAGATTATTTCTGGAGGCACGCATCATCTAAAGGAAAATAATGCTAGCATCCCGCTAGAAATAAGAATTGGATCGATTATGTGGGAACGATTTCCAAGGTCTCCTCCTTCATTAATGGGATTGGTGACACCTTCAAGGCGTTTTTCGTTATTCAAGTCTTATTTATCGCATCATTTATGATATTCGACGTCGGCTCATTTGTCAGAGGGATTATTGCTTGGACTGAAGCGACACGGTCACCGGACCTTGACCTGCATCAGTTTCAAGGTTCAAGGTGGTTAATGATATCAAGAGGCGATTACACCCATTTCGATATCACGTGTCGAGGTCGAGCGTTCCTTAATTTTAGGGTAGACCAAATTCTCTTGAAGCTAAATATTTTTGTACTTTTAGTTTTTTTTTTTTAGCGTATCCTAGTTGCTTAATGCCTAGTTCCTATCTTCAATATTGCCCCCCACCTTTTTGCCTGTCCATAAAAGCATCCAGTTTCTTCTTAAAAATACATGTAGTTTGATTAATCTCGTCACCGTGATTGCCCCACGTCTACTGTGCACCGTCTTTTTCTGTAATATATATCATTCCATAAATTCAAAATATGAATATGAATATATTTAAATATTATATGTGCATGCAGAGACATGTATGTATATAAAAATAAAAACTGGAAACGAAGTAACGCCTAAAGAAAACAGTAGAAGTAGAGCAGCGTGAGCAAGCAAGATATTTGCATTCATCAGCCCAAAAAGGAATCAATTAAATCAATTATGTTACCATGGGATGATGAAGGTTGTAATTTTCTTCGATCGTCAGAACAAACAGAATTATTCGAGGTGGCTTCGCTCGCAGCGATAATTAGTCAGTGACCTGTCGCACTGGAGACATGGAGGTGGTTAGAACAGCGGAGGGGGAAGGGATCCTTCGGGGATTCATGAGTGCGGTCGGATACGGGATGACCATCCCAGGCTCGGATCCCTGGCTCCGTGTCTTCAGCGCCGCCTGGACCATCGCCTATTTCGCATGTACGGCTGAGGCCATCGAAGAAATCGCCTCAAAAAATTATTCTGAAGCTGCCACAATTCTCCGTTTGATGGACCTACACTGCAATGTCTACTCCTTCATTAATGGGATTGGCGACGCCTTCAAGGAGCTTTTCATCATTCAAGTCATATTTATTGCAATATTTGTGACATTCAACGTCTTCGCATTCGCCATAGAGGGATTCTTGTCTGGACTGAAGCAACACGGACTCCGGACTTTGACCTGCATCAGTTTGTTTTATATCGTCACCGTGTGCGGACAGCGACTGAGAGAGCAAGTATGCAGAATTCCGCAATTCGCATGAAGCGATTTTCACTCCGATATCTGCACTAATGCTGGAGTAAAAATCGTAAAGGAAGAAATGCTATCAATGTCTGTCTTGGGGCAGATATAAATGGTATTTTCTTCGATTCGCCCCGTTTCAGAAAGAAATATAGCATTGTGTGGGTCACTCATGATGCTTCCGTGCCTAGGTTTGGAGAACTGGAGAGATTTCGAGGAGGATCGCCGCACGGTCTACCGATTCGTCCGTTCGTCATCTTCAGCTTTTCCTCTCCGGTCTCGCCTGTTCCCCGAGCCAGATCTGTGCCTCTGGATTCTTCACCGTCGACAAGCAGCTCTTCGTATCCGTCTGTTTCATGCGCAGTCCTCGATATTGTGCGATTGGAAGCTTACAGGTGGACTCCGTAGATTCCCTTTTCCCGTCTGTTGCAGATTTTGGCAGCGGTCACGACTTACTTGCTCGTCCTCGTTCAATTCCAAGCTGTAGGTACCCCTATTGGACGAAGATGTGATTCGTTACGGCTACGAAACCACCAGGATGGTCCCTCATCTACGCGTTCATTCGGAGCTTGCATCAATGGATTTCCAATTTACTGTCATTGTTAGTCTTCTTCGCATTGGAGCGTTTCTCATTTAGCCAAGTTTGCTTTTCATTCGAAGTCTAATGATTTGATCTTGAGCAGCAACTCATCTTGAGTAGCAGCCATGTAGCTATTTTCTTATCACTTTTGATTTATTTTCATCAACTGCGTTTATGAAGAATTCATCCATGTCACATTAACATAAAACACTATTCTGACGTTATTGTTGGGATCTATTTCTGATGGTTTTTCGTAACCAACGACACCCATAGTGATGGGATGACTTTAACATCCATTTCGACATTAAATTATATTGCATGAGATGGGAAATGCATGAAAACATCCGAAGCAGGCCATTTTACAGGCCCAAACTGCCTGTAAACATTTCGATCTCTCGCTGGAAATAGGAACTTCAATGAAAAAACCGGAAGTTTCGAATCGAGCTTGAATGAGGCATTCCCTAAATCAAACGTAAAATAATACAATAACGTATACGTTATTGTTCACCAACGAAGGAGTCTTCACCATGACTCCAGAAATTCATTTTATGATAGCAAGTAAGGCAATAATTCCTTCAACCTCAAAACAAAATTTCCCGATGAATTTTTTAAAATTTACAATGTGTCATAAGAAAATCGCATCAATAACTTCGGAATTTTGTGGCATGCATAATTAAAATGAGAGAATTTTCCTTTATATGCACTGTAGAATAATTTTAAAAATTAAAAAATAGGAATAAGAGTTTTAAGGATTCCCAAATGCTTCACTTCTTATTAGCCTGAAAATGCATGGGAGGCGAAGAGTTTGATCTAAAACACTCTTGATCTTATTAAAAAGTAATACTATCCTATTTATATCAATAAAAATTCAGTAAACTTCGGGATTGCATATATTCATTTATTTTCCAGTTGATTGCTCGGAATTTCGTTCCCGGCGAATTCTACGAGGAACTGCGAAGGGGGAAAGAGGTTGGACGGGGGAAAGTCTGAAAGCTTTTGAGCTTAGCGATGTCAAACCCAGATGTGGCTGGAGGACCTTCCATCGATTTGTGAGTTCCTGAATCTCAAAACACAAAATGAAAGAAACTTCGCTGCTGTGTGGCTGGGGCCATACAAACGATGAATTTCTATCAAGAAGTATGAAAATAAACACTAGAGTGTAATTACTTGAAGTATTTTCCTTGGTCACATACTAAACATCCGATTTTAAAAATAAAAAATGAAAGCTTACATTCGCACATCGTAGGCCAGTGTGAATGTTTTACCGGACGATTCCGCATAGTTCTCGATGGTTTCCGTGTCCCCACTTGATGGAGATGGGAGGAGATCCACTGCTGAAAAAACCTCAGTACAAACTCATGAGGTCTCATGAGACCTCATGACTTTCTCATGAGATCTCACGAATTTCTCACGAGATTGTCTGAATATCTCATGAAGAAATCCTCATAATATAATCCTCATGAGGTACTTAATGAGGTCTCACAACCTTCTCATGAGAATTGTGCGGTTCCTTGTGAGGCTTCGAAACGTCCTTATGAGGATCAAGACCTCATGAGGATCTCATGAGGTTTCCTTTTGAGTTTCTCATGAGGTTTTTTCAGCAGGGGAGTATGAGGTGTAGGATGCCAGATGAGACATTTCACGAGTGCGCTCGGCAACCCTGTCTACGCAGCCACCAGCAGCCGGTTCATTCTGTCTCTTGTACGGATCCGTCATTTGAAAAGGAGGGAGGGGAACTGGAAGATATCTCATTGACTGGTGTCCCAACCCAGGCCGAAGCCTTGCCCATGCGCACTGAGTTGTCCGGTTGCTACGGAAACGAGAGATATAATGCGGAGTGCATTCATATAGAATATGGATACGTGTTGTGGAGCATGCAGAGGGACAAGGAATGACCACATATATAATTACATCCAACGAAAGCGGCGGAAATGGGATAGCGTGAGTCTACAGGATATTTTTCGGGGGCATGCGTGCATCCACCCACATATGAAACATTAATCAATAAACGTTCGTAAGGAATGGAGAGACCCTAGTTCTCTTCGACCACATGAACAAACAGAATTATCCAGGGTAGGTCGGGTGCACGACATTAATGTAGTCAGTGACCCATCGAGACGGAAACATGGAGGTGGTTAGAACAGTAGAGGGGGAAAGGATCCTTCGGGGATTCATGAATGCAGTCGGGTACGGTTCGACCATCCCAGGTTGGGATCCCTGGCTCCGTGTCTATAGCGCTGCATGGACCGTTGCTTTACTCGCACACACGACTGAAGGGATCAAGACATTCATCGACACGATCATTCAGTATCTGGAAGTTTTGAAGTTCCATGAGAAAGTGAGCGTCATCCATTCGCTCTCCTTTTATGTCATCATCTTTCTTCTCGCCCTGGTCGACCTGTTCGTCCAAAGACGACTTTCTTCACTGATAGAGGAAGTTCGGGCTGTTCAAGATGTCGCTCTTTCCATCGGTGTCCCTCCCAAAAAGGGCAGGTTGAAGACAGTTGTTTCGCTTTCTGTCGCCAGCATTGTTCTAGCATTCGTTCCCTTGTCATATAACGAGATTGCCAACAATGCTAAGGGTGAACAGGTGACATTCGATGCAGCCCTGATGTCGATCTGGGACTTGCTTCTCTTCACCAGGTACATCGTGGCATCGAACGTAATTTTTTTTTACTTCTCGGAGTTCTCGGCGAATGCACTGAAAGCAGTCAATTCCAAACTGGAAGTACTGGGATACCAACCCGACGGATCAGAGGGCAGAATTCTCCCCTTGATGGAACTACACTGCAGGATCTGTTCCTTCATCGATGGGATCGCCGACGCCTTCAAGGAGATATTCATCCTTCAAGTCTTATTCATCACATTATTCCTCACCTTCAACGTCTACATATTTGCAGCTAAGGGATTTTTGTATGGACTGAAACAGCTTGGATTCCGGACTTCGATCTGCATCTGTCTGCTTTACTTCATCACCTTGTGCGGACAGCGGCTGAAAGACCAGGTACTTTGCGTTTCATTATCCGTATGCAACGATCACACACCCATCCTCTTTTATAATTTGATCAGTTTCAGAAATAAACACTCCTTTGTGGGACTTTCGAATTTCCGTCTCGACGTACAGGTTTCGAGAACTGGCGAAATTTCGAGGAGGATCGCCTCTAGGTCTACCCTGGACGACGCGTCCGTTCGTCAACTCCAGCTTTTTCTCTCCGGTCTCGCCTGCTCCCCGACCCGGATCTCTGCCTCTGGGTTTTTTGCCATCGATAAGCAACTCTTCCTCTCTGTCAGTTTAACGAAAATTCATTCTCCAATAATTACTGGGAGTTTGCATTTTTGTCTCAATGAATACCATATTCCGATCTCTTCCAGATATTGGCAGCAGTCATGACTTACTTGCTCGTCCTGGTTCAATTCCAGACTGCCGGCGGAACGAATCAAGTGTAATGGGACTGTGATTCTAAATGAGCACTGCCGTCGCGCCCTTTTCGAGGGAACTTAATCTTCGAGTCGTGCCACTTCGTGATTCTCGAGCACATTTATTCCAACATCTTTTTTTGTTGCTTATTTCCACGTTGTTCCCACTTGAGCACAAAACAGCGTTTGATCCTATTTCTAAACTCGTCATGGCGTTTGCATCCGATCCAGGACGATGGGCTCCCGACACAACGCCAACGTAACATTGTGCGGACAGAGCAAAGTCGTCAGCTAAAAAAGTTGCACCGAATCGGGTCAGAGCAACCGTTCTTGAGCAATAAAATAATTTCGGAAAATGATCAACTTCTCTTTGATTCGCTATGCAACGCAAGACGACACACAGAGATGTCGCAAAAAGGCAAGGTTGGAATGGTTTTTGCCTCTCGCTGTTTCTCATTGGCTCATTTCTTTTTTTGGAATGCGGTAGTACCGGTTGTTGCACATAGATAGCCGCCTCGACAGCTTAAACTATAAGAGTTATCTATGTGCAACACCCGGTACTGTTTCAGTCAAGACCACATCTCATAATTATAAAAAATAAATATCGCTCCAGCATAGCGACTCAAGAAACAGCAAACCCTCCCAGGTCGATTCTCTATTATGACAACCGGTAACCTTAAGGAGATAGGGAGATTCCGGAAATAAGCACGAAATGGAGTATTACTCGGTCGTGCGTGTTCACGTGCCCGTTGCCGTGGCTGCGACTTAGATATATAATTCAATGCCAGTAGAGGTCCTCTGGGTTTTCTTTAGAAGGTTTCGAGAGAGAGAGAGAGAGATATTTTCTTCTTTAGCGATTAACAGAGGGAAAAATGACATTCGGGATGACCTTCTCGCTACTGGGTGCGTCAGATGCTTGCGAAAACTTGATGAGTTTCCCTTTCCCCGTACACTCACCGTGTCTCGATGCCATCCGGGAAGGAAAGAAAAATGCGAGTCTTGGAAAACGATATTGTATTCATATGCGTATTGGAGACACGATGGAAGCAAAGAGAGAAAGAGAGGGAGAGAAAAGTGGAATCTTTTTTTTTTTCACGAATGTGGCATACACAACACTGCATCAAGCACCACGTGACAGAGAGATGAAGCCAACACCCCAAGTTCGTAATAAATAAAATAAAAATAAACCGAGCGACGTAACCGTAAGTAGATAGATGATCACAGTCGGGTAGCCACTTGGGAGATCGATCGCACGATATGAGATTTTTTGAGCTCGTCACTGATATGAGGATTTTATGATTATTTTTTTATTATATATATATTTGTAAATGCTATCACGAAGGGAGGAAAGGGTTGGTGTAAACCGTGGGCGTGGCGAGCGGGGAGAGGAATCCGTTGTTGCTGTAGCACTGCTGGGGGAGCTGGGGGGATTTCGCGGGGATCTTCTGGCCTCTCTGCTGTCGGAGCGCCATCTCGATCTGCTCCTTCCCCCATTCCCGCTCGAGGTTGCTGTTCTTCATCCCGTATGCGAAGTAGATGGCGAAGCCTAAGGGGTATACAGGAGGTGCGTGGTGAGCGATTTACAGGCTCCGATGTGTTACGTGTATTCGCGGTTTCTTTCTCCATCGCACTGCTTAGGATCCGTCTCGTGTGGTCGGATTATTTTCGAGTTGTATGGTACGAGCGGAAGGGAGAGGATTAAAAACACGAATGGATGAGTTGAAAATGAGAAACGGCGATAAAATAAAGAGAACAAAAAATTAAGACAAAACCGTAATCCTTTACCGTCCGAATGACGGTTCTATCCGCATGGTTCACCGGATTAATTCAATTTTACGGATAAATAGAAGGGATCGTATGGATAAATATACCCGAAGAGATGAAACTTCAAGCAAGCAGATTTCCGTGCGATGAAATCCGGAATTTCCATGCCGACCGGGGGAAAAATTAAAACTTTCAATCTACAAGCTAAAGGTTAAAAATACCGGTCAAAATGAAGAAATCGCTTAAGTCGTGCGTCAGAGCGTCGTCGTGTGTAATCGAGGGTGCGATCCCCCGAGAGGCCGAGGACCGCGACGAACGTACCGATGGTCATCCAGACGATGAACCGGAACAGGGTGAGGATAGAGAGCTTGAGGATGAGATAGATGTTGACCGTGACGGCGATGGCCGGCACGAACGGCAACCCAGGCGTCAGGAACGGCAGGGCTCGCCTGTTCAAACATTCCATTCCTCTATTTCATTCACGAATTGCTTTCTTCCTGTTTTTCTAGGGTCTCTTTGCACTTGACTGTTCATCGCCTCATACAACATGAGAATTAAATTTTAATCTCAACAATCCCCCCCCGCCCCCAGTATCAGCTGTCATTTGGCAACTAATAGGTTGCCATGGCATCCATTGAGTTCAGAATTTTTCGGGTGTATCCTTCGCTGCAAGATGAGTGATTAAACAAATCTTTTTTTTTTGGGGGGGGGGGGGGGGGGGGGGGGGGG